CAAGAATAGTCAGTGCTTCATCTAACACATCTCTCTTGCTTGCTCTTGATCTTATATCTTCAATCTGAGGTTGTTCCTTACTTACTTCCTGATTTGCTTTCCGAACAGTGCTTAACAAATCAAAGACGTCAGGATGAGAAGGACTACCAAAAGCCAAAGCAAAGGTATGATTTGAAGACGAGACATCATGCTTGATCAATTCATCCACCACTTTGAAGATTGACTTTGCCCATGTTCCACCTTCCTCCTCCACCCCACCACCAACACTACCTTTCATGGAGCCAGAGACATCTGCCAGAATGCCTATCAGGGTGGACCATGTTTCACATCTTGGAAAAAAAATCAGCATGTAAGATAATTTATCATGAGCAAAATATTATCATGGCTTTAATTCTACACAAAATTCAACGCAAATGCAACACAAGCAGGTTACAAAACAGCATGGACAAAATTAATGTAAAAACAGTGATGATAATCTCAAACAGAGACTTTCAATAAGATTCCCCAATTTTTTGGGGAAAAAAGAATGTTTAAAGCTCCCACCATAGTCTATGCAGATATTTAGCAAACTAACTACATGTGCTGTGCTGTAAAGTATCCTATTTTTTAGTCTATTTGGGCTTTTCGTGTACTATAATTTTGACAAGCACATGAAATGCACAGACAAAGTACATTTGACGCACTAGGTGTATATCCAATCATGCAATGTTAGTGATACTCTCACGACTGACTAAAATGGTATGCATAATATCAAAGACCGGCCAAGTTTGACGTGTAGCAAACTTGCAATCTGGTGAAGCTCCACTTCTGACTAGGCAGAGAATATAAATGAGCTTACATAACACAAAGATAAAATATTCACAAAGTTCAAAACATACTCAGAGTCCATTAGTTCCCTTGGTTCCCTTGGTTCCCTTGGTTTCTCGGAAAGAAAGAAAGTTATTCCTTTGTAAAGAAAAATCCCAGCAATCGTAGTATACGCCACCCACGACCAACACAGTCTTGCAATCGTTCCGGCAAACAGCTGAGAACGGTCGATCGCTGTGCGGATTCTAGCTGAAATGCAACAGAGTTAACGATCGAGGATGGTCGAGATTTATTTTTACTTGTCACTAACTGTTCAAGGTTAAAACATGTACGAGGTAAACAACCAAGTGTAGAAAATTAAAATCCTTTCTAGGAATGTGATACATCAAAGCGTTTGTAACAAAGAAAAAAAAATAACTTGTTAACTGGAACAGCAGTCGAATACAACCTAACACTTTGCTTCTAGAAGGGCCGCAGTTTTCTATAATCACGCTTATATTAGCGATGAAACTTTCGGATCAAAGTATATCAATAACAAATGTGCGAATCCACGAATTTTAACCACATATCATTATAGAAGCTTAAATTACGAGAGGATTTCCGTCACAGACAAAGTGAAGATTAGGTTTCAATTAAAATCCGACTCGAAGTGGAAAGTGAAAGTAAGCCAAAAACAAGAACTTTAACTTCCGCTTTCCGTCCGTAATCCTTAATTCGCTCTAATTCATAAGACGGTATTAAAATGTGCTTTGCTCACCCTTAGAGTTGTACTTCTTTACCTGAAAAACGAAAATGGAAAAAGCCGAAAAAGATATCCTTTCACTCTTCTGGTGTTATGATTATAGCTTGTGCAAGAGTTCTCTATTCGACGAGGAGGCTAAGAGGGCAGCTGTCGAGTTGATCAAAACAGAATGTAGCTCGGCATGGACGGGAAGGCTGGACACCAGTCACATGTCAATTTGATATCGATGGCAATAATAATTCTCAATCTTTGTGGTGAATTTTGTATCTTTTGGCAACGAACATTCGGAACCAGTGGCGGATCCAGACCTTGAGCTAAGGGAGGGAGGGGGTGGGGGGTTTGCTTGTCCTGCCAGCTATTCTTCCTTCTGTGATTTCTTCTTTTCTACCCAAAATAAGGGTGGGGGTGGGGGTGGTTGGGTCTCGCCCCTCCCCTAGGTCCGCCACTGGAAACCATATACCATTTTATTTAAACAGAGGCATACAACTAAACTTATAGGCTTCTGATTTAACTAATAGCTATAAATTGGAAGCTGCAAAGCCACAGACACTTCATATTCTTCTGCAAACTTTACAATCAGATTGAAAATCATAAAATATATTTACATCTAACTTACTCAATAAACTTATTATTAATAACAGGTGTATTTATTTTGCAGTTTTTACAGTGAATCAGTATTTTAACAGTAACCTCCATGACCTCCAAGAGTTTGTGTCATCTCTGGGTTTGACGAAAAAAGTGCTGGCTTCATTTTGTAGCAATCTTTACTGTGAAGGACTATGGAGGCCCTGTTGAAGGGGTAAACAAGTCCTCACTTCTAAATAACAAACCTTGTCATTTTACAATTTCCGAAACAGCTTTCGGGATATCGTCCAACGTTATCGAAGATATAAAAAGAAGTTGCGCAACGCTTTCGAGTGGTATACCATGAAATATTCAACGAGTCAGTTGTATTTTCTCGGTATACAGAAGAGCTTTCAGCGAGTATGTTGGGTGGTGTTTGATGGGAAGAGTTGGGTGTAATGCCGTCGAGTATGCAACGGCTTTTCTGTTTTCTGATTTTAATATTGCATGATAAAGAGCCGGTACACCATGTCGCAGGGTGACAACCAATACGCTGCTGATAACTTCTTCGTTCCTTTGATGCAGTGATTTCAACGTAAGTCTTGCCGTTCGAGTTCACTTCACTTTCTCCATGTCGCCGTCTCAATGCCGAGTCGCTTGCTACAGTCTCGGCATGATACATTGAACGGAACATAACTTCATGACCAAAACTTTCTCGAGCACTGGCAAAGTTCTTTGTTAATACATTTGTGATGTTTGGCTCTAATTGTTTTAGCGCTGTAAATGTAACAGTCAAGGTTGGTAGCTAGGTACAACCCGAGTATCGGGCTTTTCTTTTTCTTTTTCCTTTTTTTCCCCTCCCTTCCTCCCTTGCCCTCTCCCATTGGAAAAGGCCTGATACTCAGGTTAAGCTAGGTACAAGTATGTTTACATGATCATAAATATAAGGTGTCCTACTTAGGTAAAACGATCATCCGTACAGCTCGTCAAACCAGTCCAATTTGTCCAGTATGACAAGCAATGCTTACTTGCTGTGCTTGATCTTTTGCTTAAATGGCAACCCAAGGAGTAGCCAACAACAAAAAAGGTCCGCGTAGTGTACACATTAGACTGATTTAGCACCAGGATGCCAGGGATCAGGAAGCGGTTAACTGTGTATTTGTTCCACTAGTATTTCTGTAAATTTCCTGCTTCGTTGGAAAATATTTTCTACCTCACACAGTGGAACTTAATGTCAATTCCCTTTCACTATAAGGCAGCGTGCCTATTCTGTTTTTCACCGTAATGCTCTAGATTTAAACTAGTCCCTCTCTTCCCATTAAAAAAAATGACCATGCCATATTTTAAACTAGTTTCTTTTCGCTTTTTGTTGTACAAACTGAGGGAAAAGTTGGTCTGCCCATCGTCTGACAATGCATTGCACGGCTTGATCCTCAAGTGGAGGAGTACCAAAAAAGAGTGGTTTGTCAACTGAAATCAATATTTAAATGCTGATTTTCGGTTGATATGTGAAATATTGGCGCTTTGACGAATAATTATTTTTCAACACACTATTTTGACATTGCGTAGTCGACCCAAGAAGGGTCTAGGTTTTTACTTGATTTTTTTTTTTTGGTACTCTTCGTGTACTGTACTTAGCTGAAAGATACCGTTCGTGTACAGTGTTTACAAGTAAGACGCAACACATGAACTTTTAAGCTCACAAGGTTTCCCTTTCAAATCCGGAGATCGCGGGTTAAGTTCCGCACTGACCACTGAGCTGGAGTTGTTTCTTGGTAGACCCTAGTTCAACTCCTCGGTCATGCTTGCAAATAGCCAACTGGTCTGCCTCCTGCCAGTTGGGATTTTTGACCATGTTATGTTCATTTGCATTATTTGTTTCATCATTTGGTTTCATTGGCCCTGAAAAGCCCCGTTGGGGGCATGGTCAACTAAGATATACTATAAGATATATTATATTATTATTGTTTGCATGCAAATCGACACCATCGCAGCTCAGTATAACGCAATTTGGTTATTACCCTCCAAAGTCGATTGGAGCACAGATTAAGAAGTAATCAAAACCTGTCCAGGAAATTTAAGGTAAGGTACAAAGGAAGTTAAGTGGGTGTCAGGCCAAGTAACCTGAGATCAGGCATTTCTTTTTCTTTTTGAAAGGGAAATGAGATGCAGGGAGGGAGGGTATGATCGCAGGTTACAGGCCAAGTGTACCATATTACGGCAGTTTATCCTGGTTTCTGTAACAAGAAGTGATCGTCTATGAGTATTTCTACTCCTACTTTACTGCACAGAACTGACCAAAAGTACACCTGCAGCATGAGTCTTAGTTAATCTCGAGGACCAAATGCTGCTTCAGAAACCATGTGGAGAGGGCCAGAGAAGAGATTGTTGTCTCATTTTGTTCCCTTTATTTCCAATATCACAAAATGTAAACATTTGTGGGACATTTGCTTGGATGATTCATCAAAGCAATCATGAATCATTTGAAGTTCATGTAACACACATGTTGCTCACTTTTGGAGAGGATACCATTATTTACACTCTCTATGATGTGCCTTCTGGCATCCCCATTTTACTTGTACATAAATAGCAGACCTCCTCTGCACCAATGCAACATAAAAACAGCACCCCCCCTTAACAAAATGTAATTCCTGGTCCTAATGAATGTGTCTACAAGAAATAACCTCTCCATTCAGATATGATGTCATACCAGCACCTTCCCACCTCCCCCTAAGACATGCCATTATTGCCTAGATGCATCACTTCTTTTGAAAACCTTACAAAAAAGTTACAAGTTAAATTCAAAATTGATACTAATCCTGTATTGGCTTGATCATTCTTTTCATTCTTTGAACAATCAAACCCTCAGCTGATGGTTATTTCTTACCTCACTGTCCTTCATTCCAAGTCTCTGTACAGCCCTACTTACACGAGGTGTAGGGAAGCCCATGCTTGCAATGTTGCGAACAAATGACTGCTCTGATTCATCTAAAACAGGCCACGGATCTGGTAGAGAGGATCTATATGCATGCTCTACATCCGCTGATAGGCTGGTTTGCCATTCTTCTGGTGAAGTACAAATTGGAGGCAAAGGAGCAGGATAGCGAGCCCCTGTATTCTGAATGTGAAAATAAAATGAGCATATTACACTTCAGTTAATAGTTCAAAATTTTAACTTGGTTAGATTACAACACAATTCCACATTATTTAGCAGCACACAAATAATGAAGATCTATTTAAATATAGGCCAGTCAGACTTATGACTAGCCAGCCACGATGGAGCACCTACTTTTACATTGCTTTGATGATTACTTACCTGAGAGTCGGGAGACCTTGGCACATTCCACTGTGGTTCTCTTGAACTACAAACAGAGGGAGGAGTAACATAATGTCCATAGTTTGGTTTAATTTCCTGTTCTTTAGTGGTTTTCTCTTGTCCTTGTAGAGGAGGAGTTTTAGGAAAACTATAAATCCCACCTTGGTAAGAATTTGTATTCTCGCTAGTGTGTGTTGCGATTTGCATGGGTTGCTGTCCTTGTGGCTGTTGAGACCCTGACGAAGGAAAACTCTGTCCAATGGGAGGCAATAATCCTCCTCTGGAGAGAGGCCTGTCTTTGGGAAGAAACCTTGTATTTGGTAAAGAACTACTTGGAACAGAATCATTCCTTGCTGAAATAATTGTAGGAGGAGTTACCAAGCTAGTCCTCATTTCTCCAATGTCCACTAACAATGTACCCCCTATATTGGCATTAGGTGACCTTCTTGTATCTGCAGTTCTACTTATTATCGGAGGTGATGGTTTTTGCAACACATTAGCAGAACTAGAAATATCAATTAATGAATTCCCTGAAAGTGGAACATTGCTTGCAGTTAGACTAACATCACTCCCAGGTGAACCAGTTGGAAGACCACGTGCTCTATAATCGCATGAACTAGATGAGTTTTCTGTTGTTGCCAAGGGTACTGCATTAGGTTGAAGGACATTTTTAAGTTCATCTAAATCATTTATCGTCTGTAATTCTACCAGCTCAAATGGTGTTGACGTGTCACCTTCAAAGTCTGCAAGGTCAAATGCATTTTTCCCCTTTCCCCCAAAGCTGTCCTTTTTCTTATGCCCTCTTCCAGGTGCCACCACAGGTTGAAGAATTTCAGTTCCAACGTTGGAAAATACTGAATTTTGACTAGGCAGAGTTTCTGTGGAAGAACTTGTCACTTGAGATTCAGCTGAGGAAGCTTCTGATAGTTCCTGTTTTGAAGCCCTGAGTGCATCCGCTTTAGCAATGACATCTCTTTCAAGGCTGAAGTCATACTTAAAAAAGCAACAACAAAACCATTATACCAAGATGTAAAAAACCAAGGATTATAGCAAGATCAGGATAACCAGGTTAAGGTCAAACAAATTTTTAGTTTTTAACCAAATGAACATGTAGCCTCAAGCTAACAGAGAAGAAGATTCTTTATTAATGCCCCAAACAACATTCCCTACGAAATACTCTCAATTGAAAGTATCAGATATAGGTCAGCATTTTATTTTTATACAATAGTCTCCATTTCAAATAATGAAGATGTGATTAAAGTTGATTTCATGTTAGCCAGGCTCCAATCCATTAATAGAGATATGACGCATTTAAAAAAGTCAAAAAAAGCTTTGTATTAGTTTTCCTACTTACTGTTAAGCTCAGGGCAAATGAGGGATCTTTTTGTTGCCATCCCACTGGTAATGTCACCTGAAAATTATAGCAAAGATTAAGATTTAAAAAGTGTCTATCTTGTCTTTTCAGTGTGTACACAAAGATTAAAATCTTATTTTTCTGACTATTAAGACTATTGGATCTTTGAATATGAAATAATTCAAATTGTAGCATGAGTATTCTTTTTGTCATGTAAATGAAGACTATCTGTACAAAAGACATTGTTCCGATTGACTTCAAGTCTCGTGAGAATCTAGTGCAAAGTAGTTTACAAATTAAAGGCATTGTTCTGATTGACTTATAGCATGGTAAGAATGAGTTTGGAGTAAGATGTTAGCATAATTATTCAGTAATAACCCAGGCATTGCCCTAACCTGGGCACCTGAGGGAAAGAAGAGTAGAGGTCAACCACTGCAAGAGACGGAGCAGATTGGAAGATCTTGACAAGTCAATGCCCCTATTCTCCCAGAGGTGAGCTAGGACTATGATGATGACGATTCAGTAATTCACGAGCAAATGAGCCAGAAAGCTTGAATCTGTCAAGTGCTTCAAGTTTTAGTAATAGCAGTTGGCTTGCTTGTATGAAGGCTTAGCATGCAGTTTGATAAATTAACTCACTTATCCAGATTAGTGTAAGAGATGTACAACTCTTTTTCCTGAATAATGTGCATGCATTAAGTTATTTTAATGCATCCTTCAGAGTTGGAAGTTAGCCTTCAAGCACTTTTCCATGTAAGTGTGAGAAGTGTTGGATGAGTGCAAAAATTAATCATCTCAAGGTTCAGTATGTAATTTTTTTAAATTTTTGCTTCCCATTTTGGCAAGAAATTTTTTAAAACATAAACCTACATGTACCAGTTCTATGTCAAATAATTAGTTTTGATCCAATGTACAAATGCACTATCAGTACTGTTTTCTCTGGTGGCTACTGCCAAACTATGAGATTATCTCCCCAGGAGTTCAAAATTTCGAAATGAAAAAAAAGGAAGATACATTGCTACATGATTCACAGATGACGTCTTACGAAAACACTGTGCATGGGAACAGAAGGACCAGAAAATTTAACTGAAAAAAGTGGCATGTTAGTATTCTGTAGTTGAAACACAATGTTCGGAAAGGTGTAGTTAGAGACTAGAAAATGCAGTTATCTAATGAGCAAGTGAAAACTAATCCGAGTGAGTGTATTCCGAGAAGTCATTCACCAAAATTGGTGACTGCTCTCAAAATTAAGTTTCCAATACCAATCTTTTCATATAGACCCTTTTCATAAATGGCTGCTAATTATAAAATCTTTGTAAGTATTAAAATTAGCCTTACTAACCTCATTTTTAAGTTGATAATTCAAAAGAATTTTCACTCTCAAATGAGTTTAGTGAGGCTAATTTAAATGTATACAAAAGAATTTTAAATTGGCAGCCATTTCTGAAAAGGGTCTATAATTTGTTTAATTCACAGTGGAAGGTTTAAAAGCAAAAAAAGCCATTTGGAAGAAGCAAATTACCAGATTAAAACAAACGAGAAATATTTCACAAGTATTGGACAACCTAAGGTTGGGCAATATATCATGATTTGTCAGTGGCCAGCAGATCAATTACTCGTTGTAAAAAAACTAAAAGGCTGATGTAAATAATTGATCTGCAAGATAATAGAGTTCAATAATTATGTTATTATTCAATCGACAACTGAAGTTTGTTTTCATATTAAAATCACTCTCCAGCAGGTCAGGGAAGAGATCTGCTATTTTTCACACAACAGTGTGGTTACAGATATGTATGAGCAGAAATTATGTTATTAATATACATTGAACTCACTATCTCTTTTCTGATAGGCCAATTTCAAGCGTACAGTGAATTTTTGAAATCAGTGCCTGTGACGTCATCTAGCTGCAGATTGTACAATTGTAATGACCAATAATCATGTCAAGGACACTCAGGTCACTGGTAATCATGTCATGTATGACCTCGGTGCATGATTTCTTATGATAATCTTGTCAGGTTTGCGTGCTTTGTGTTGCTTGCCATCTTTGAATAGGCAAAAACATGACTTCCATTTTTTTTTTCCCTTCAATATATCAAACAATTGTTAGATTCGGTTTTTGTGATATCCAGAATAATCAAGCTCTCGGTAAGGGTTATCAGCCTCGAGCTTCGGCTTCGGCTGACAACTCCTACCTCAGCCTTGATTATTCTAGATTCCAAAAAAACCTCATCCAATAATAATTATTGTTTATTATTTGTAGCAAAACACATGTAGACGGTATTGCGCATGAGCAGACCATCATTTGTAGGTGGTTATTTGCTGGTCATATGGTGGGTTTTGGTCAGTTAAAAGGAAGAAAAATAGCATCGAATGATAATGCTAATTAATTAATTACTCATAAAAAAAAATAGTCCATGGTAAGTCTGACACTTGCCTGTGAACACAGATGTATTTCCAGCTGTCACTTGGTTCCACTGAAAATACCGAACCCAAGCAAGAGATTGATTTCAGTGACATCAAAGCTTTTGTTTTGTTGTAGACCAGTAAAATTCCCCAATAGAATATGACACTCGGGTACACGCGCCACACTGCCAGCGGAAATGGAAATCGAGCCTTATGGGGACTGGGAACTGGTGATAATTTTAGAATTTGAAATTTGTTCGCATTGAGCGCTGGTGAAATGCCATTGAAGAAGATCTCAACCTCTAAGGTTTGTTTGCTATGCAAAGAAAAAGTTTCCAGTGAAGAAAAGATAAAAGTGTTTGGAAAAAGTATCTGTCTGTTTGCGATGGGAGTGATCTTGCTGCTAGCAGTTGCTGCTTCACTGCAAGAGAACTTTGAACAGAGCAGAGACAATCGAAAACGAATACAAACAAAATTTCATTAATGATGGCTTGTCAAAAAACGTGGAATCAAGGACAAGCGACAGAGGCAAAATTAATGTAAACAATTTTCAGTCACAACAGTGTAAAATGGGTTTACATGAAACAGGCCTGTAGAACTCCTATGGTCTGTGACATATGTGCATTTGCCATTCTCTTTTGGTTTCAGGTCTCTTGACCTTCTTTGCTTCACAAGTATTTCTGAAAGGCACCTCAAGCTGTGTTATTACGAGGGATTTTAAGTAGAGAAGTGCCATTTGACTGTGCTATTACAAATTTTTTGGAGGTCATAGGTCTGCATGGTTTCCACTGTTGTCTGCATGTCACTTTGCTGAGTTTGACACCTCTGTAATTTCCATCAGCTTGTACTCCCGCAAAACTTCTTGAACACATCTTACACCACTTTTTCTCCATGTCTTTACCCAAGCTCCACGTACAATTTTTGCGTGTTACTTTGGTGGATATTGCAAGGTGAAATGTGATTGTTTAATAAGAGCTGGTGTCACTGAAGTTGATCTCTTGCTTGGGTTCGCAGATTTTTTTTTTTGGCAGAACCAAGTATCTGCGCTTACACACCAGTATGATGTGCATTTCGCCTCAGCCAAGAGACTCTTCAGAGACCTTTCAAAATTTAAGCACTGTGCTCAAACTCCTGTTTGCAAATTCAAGTACTAGACAAGTCGTTATTAATTAATCGATCAATAAATCAATTAATTAATTAACTAGTTCATTCAGGGAACCAGTTGACAGCTGCTTGCATATTCTGATGAATCAGAGTATACAAAATTTGTAAGCTTGCTATCATTTATGTATGTTTGTTTGCTAAAATACACTGTGCTAAAAACATAGGCACACCAGAATAATATAAGGCTACAATTGTAGTCAAGTAGTTTCGCGGATTTGTTGACTATTGAAGTGGCATATCTACATAGGAAAAACGTTAGGCGTCAAAAAGTCAATATAACCGATTATACCTTCTTCGGTGGTCTGAATTTTTCTCCAATTTTAACGTCGACCCCTTGAAGAGAGTGAAATTCAGCATGATCTGAAAAAGTAGTGAACAGAATAAATTATATAATTAAGCTTATAGGTTTTCGTTGCTAAGGTAAGGACAGTAAGATTATTCCAAAATTGTCATGTATTTGAGAACATCTACACGTACTTTACAAGCCAGTTTTAAGAGTAAGCTTGTATTAAAAAATCTCTAGGTATAAGCTTAAACTCAATTTAATAGCTGGAGGTGACAATCTGTTTTCCGGCCAGTTTTGCTTTTACCGAGGACGAGAAAACGGTATTAATCTATCTTCACGAGGCGTGTAACGCAAGATAAAGAAAAAATGAAATACTTACGACTTCCACTCTTCCTAAATGTCTTTTGAAACGAAGCCATCGCAAGGTTATGTCAAACTAAAGGGGAAGGACTGCTACTTCGATGTTGTCCTCCATGTTAACTCTTGATGATGTCATTGCGCCTGCGTTGTTTCTCAAAGATGTTATGAAATGGCTATTTAAAGAAAATGTTATTCAATCGGAAAATGTTCCCTTAAAATTCGATACATTCCTCAAAACGAAGTTGAATTAAGATTTACAAAGCCATAACTTTGCACTTTTCCTAACCGGCGGTAGACGACAAGCTCTAAGCTCCCGTCCTCTCCCTACTAGTGGTTATGTGTGAACTCCACTCTACCCTTGTTAGTCTTACCTCGTTGGCTTGTGTTACCATAGTGAGCGCAGAGCGCCATCTTGGCAAATTGATAGGTGCATAAAGTCATAATATCAAAATGTCAAAGGCAGAAAGGCTTTATCAACTTGAAAGACCTCCATTTACTTCTGTAAGTGTGAAATTCTCGAACGCATATTTTTATCACTGCTCTGTGGTTTGTCTTCTTCACATTTCAAGGCGCTTTTTTCTAACAAATGCCTTACTGAGTGCCTTACAAAATGCCAATATTTTTATTTACAGAGGGAATTTCACACCAGGTTCACAAATCTCGTGGGTCCTTTAAGTCTCTTTGAACCAGAGGATAGTGCAGGTANACCTACTTTTACATTGCTTTGATGATTACTTACCTGAGAGTCGGGAGACCTTGGCACATTCCACTGTGGTTCTCTTGAACTACAAACAGAGGGAGGAGTAACATAATGTCCATAGTTTGGTTTAATTTCCTGTTCTTTAGTGGTTTTCTCTTGTCCTTGTAGAGGAGGAGTTTTAGGAAAACTATAAATCCCACCTTGGTAAGAATTTGTACTCTCGCTAGTGTGTGTTGCGATTTGCATGGGTTGCTGTCCTTGTGGCTGTTGAGACCCTGACGAAGGAAAACTCTGTCCAATGGGAGGCAATAATCCTCCTCTGGAGAGAGGCCTGTCTTTGGGAAGAAACCTTGTATTTGGTAAAGAACTACTTGGAACAGAATCATTCCTTGCTGAAATAATTGTAGGAGGAGTTACCAAGCTAGTCCTCATTTCTCCAATGTCCACTAACAATGTACCCCCTATATTGGCATTAGGTGACCTTCTTGTATCTGCAGTTCTACTTATTATCGGAGATGATGGTTTTTGCAACACATTAGCAGAACTAGAAATATCAATTAATGAATTCCCTGAAAGTGGAACATTGCTTGCAGTTAGACTAACATCACTCCCAGGTGAACCAGTTGGAAGACCACGTGCTCTATAATCGCATGAACTAGATGAGTCTTCTGTTGTTGCCAAGGGTACTGCATTAGGTTGAAGGACATTTTTAAGTTCATCTAAATCATTTATCGTCTGTAATTCTACAAGCTCAAATGGTGTTGACGTGTCACCTTCAAAGTCTGCAAGGTCAAATGCATTTTTCCCCTTTCCCCCAAAGCTGTCCTTTTTCTTATGCCCTCTTCCAGGTGCCACCACAGGTTGAAGAATTTCAGTTCCAACGTTGGAAAATACTGAATTTTGACTAGGCAGAGTTTCTGTGGAAGAACTTGTCACTTGAGATTCAGCTGAGGAAGCTTCTGATAGTTCCTGTTTTGAAGCCCTGAGTGCATCCGCTTTAGCAATGACATCTCTTTCAAGGCTGAAGTCATACTTAAAAAAGCAACAACAAAACCATTATACCAAGATGTAAAAAACCAAGGATTATAGCAAGATCAGGATAACCAGGTTAAGGTCAAACAAATTTTTAGTTTTTAACCAAATGAACATGTAGCCTCAAGCTAACAGAGAAGAAGATTCTTTATTAATGCCCCAAACAACATTCCCTACGAAATACTCTCAATTGAAAGTATCAGATATAGGTCAGCATTTTATTTTTATACAATAGTCTCCATTTCAAATAATGAAGATGTGATTAAAGTTGATTTCATGTTAGCCAGGCTCCAATCCATTAATAGAGATATGACGCATTTAAAAAAGTCAAAAAAAGCTTTGTATTAGTTTTCCTACTTACTGTTAAGCTCAGGGCAAATGAGGGATCTTTTTGTTGCCATCCCACTGGTAATGTCACCTGAAAATTATAGCAAAGATTAAGATTTAAAAAGTGTCTATCTTGTCTTTTCAGTGTGTACACAAAGATTAAAATCTTATTTTTCTGACTATTAAGACTATTGGATCTTTGAATATGAAATAATTCAAATTGTAGCATGAGTATTCTTTTTGTCATGTAAATGAAGACTATCTGTACAAAAGACATTGTTCCGATTGACTTCAAGTCTCGTGAGAATCTAGTGCAAAGTAGTTTACAAATTAAAGGCATTGTTCTGATTGACTTATAGCATGGTAAGAATGAGTTTGGAGTAAGATGTTAGCATAATTATTCAGTAATAACCCAGGCATTGCCCTAACCTGGGCACCTGAGGGAAAGAAGAGTAGAGGTCAACCACTGCAAGAGACGGAGCAGATTGGAAGATCTTGACAAGTCAATGCCCCTATTCTCCCAGAGGTGAGCTAGGACTATGATGATGACGATTCAGTAATTCACGAGCAAATGAGCCAGAAAGCTTGAATCTGTCAAGTGCTTCAAGTTTTAGTAATAGCAGTTGGCTTGCTTGTATGAAGGCTTAGCATGCAGTTTGATAAATTAACTCACTTATCCAGATTAGTGTAAGAGATGTACAACTCTTTTTCCTGAATAATGTGCATGCATTAAGTTATTTAAAAGCATCCTTCAGAGTTGGAAGTTAGCCTTCAAGCACTTATCCATGTAAGTGTGAGAAGTGTTGGATGAGTGCAAAAATTAATCATCTCAAGGTTCAGTATGTAATTTTTTTAAATTTTTGCTTCCCATTTTGGCAAGAAATTTTTTAAAACATAAACCTACATGTACCAGTTCTATGTCAAATAATTAGTTTTGATCCAATGTACAAATGCACTATCAGTACTGTTTTCTCTGGTGGCTACTGCCAAACTATGAGATTATCTCCCCAGGAGTTCAAAATTTCGAAATGAAAAAAAAGGAAGATACATTGCTACATGATTCACAGATGACGTCTTACGAAAACACTGTGCATGGGAACAGAAGGACCAGAAAATTTAACTGAACACAAAGTGGCATGTTAGTATTCTGTAGTTGAAACACAATGTTCGGAAAGGTGTAGTTAGAGACTAGAAAATGCAGTTATCTAATGAGCAAGTGAAAACTAATCCGAGTGAGTGTATTCCGAGAAGTCATTCACCAAAATTGGTGACTGCTCTCAAAATTAAGTTTCCAATACCAATCTTTTCATATAGACCCTTTTCATAAATGGCTGCTAATTATAAAATCTTTGTAAGTATTAAAATTAGCCTTACTAACCTCGTTTTTAAGTTGATAATTCAAAAGAATTTTCACTCTCAAATGAGTTTAGTGAGGCTAATTTAAATGTATACAAAAGAATTTTAAATTGGCAGCCATTTCTGAAAAGGGTCTATAATTTGTTTAATTCACAGTGGAAGGTTTAAAAGCAAAAAAAGCCATTTGGAAGAAGCAAATTACCAGATTAAAACAAACGAGAAATATTTCACAAGTATTGGACAACCTAAGGTTGGGCAATATATCATGATTTGTCAGTGGCCAGCAGATCAATTACTCGTTGTAAAAAAACTAAAAGGCTGATGTAAATAATTGATCTGCAAGATAATAGAGTTCAATAATTATGTTATTATTCAATCGACAACTGAAGTTTGTTTTCATATTAAAATCACTCTCCAGCAGGTCAGGGAAGAGATCTGCTATTTTTCACACAACAGTGTGGTTACAGATATGTATGAGCAGAAATTATGTTATTAATATTCATTGAACTCACTATCTCTTTTCTGATAGGCCAATTTCAAGCGTACAGTGAATTTTTGAAATCAGTGCCTGTGACGTCATCTAGCTGCAGATTGTACAATTGTAATGACCAATAATCATGTCAAGGACACTCAGGTCACGGGTAATCATGTCATGTATGACCGCGGTGCATGATTTCTTAGGATAATCGTGTCAGGTTTGCGTGCTTTGTGTTGCTTGCCATCTTTGAATAGGCAAAAACATGACTTCCATTTTTTTTTTCCCTTCAATATATCAAACAATTGTTAGATTCGGTTTTTGTGATATCCAGAATAATCAAGCTCTCGGTAAGGGTTATCAGCCTCGAGCTTCGGCTTCGGCTGACAACTCCTACCTCAGCCTTGATTATTCTAGATTCCAAAAAAACCTCATCCAATAATAATTATTGTTTATTATTTGTAGCAAAACACATGTAGACGGTATTGCGCATGAGCAGACCATCATTTGTAGGTGGTTATTTGCTGGTCATATGGTGGGTTTTGGTCAGTTAAAAGGAAGAAAAATAGCATCGAATGATAATGCTAATTAATTAATTACTCATAAAAAAAAATAGTCCATGGTAAGTCTGACACTTGCCTGTGAACACAGATGTATTTCCAGCTGTCACTTGGTTCCACTGAAAATACCGAACCCAAGCAAGAGATTGATTTCAGTGACATCAAAGCTTTTGTTTTGTTGTAGACCAGTAAAATTCCCCAATAGAATATGACACTCGGGTACACGCGCCACACTGCCAGCGGAAATGGAAATCGAGCCTTATGGGGACTGGGAACTGGTGATAATTTTAGAATTTGAAATTTGTTCGCATTGAGCGCTGGTGAAATGCCATTGAAGAAGATCTCAACCTCTAAGGTTTGTTTGCTATGCAAAGAAAAAGTTTCCAGTGAAGAAAAGATAAAAGTGTTTGGAAAAAGTATCTGTCTGTTTGCGATGGGAGTGATCTTGCTGCTAGCAGTTGCTGCTTCACTGCAAGAGAACTTTGAACAGAGCAGAGACAATCGAAAACGAATACAAACAAAATTTCATTAATGATGGCTTGTCAAAAAACGTGGAATCAAGGACAAGCGACAGAGGCAAAATTAATGTAAACAATTTTCAGTCACAACAGTGTAAAATGGGTTTACATGAAACAGGCCTGTAGAACTCCTATGGTCTGTGACATATGTGCATTTGCCATTCTCTTTTGGTTTCAGGTCTCTTGACCTTCTTTGCTTCACAAGTATTTCTGAAAGGCACCTCAAGCTGTGTTATTACGAGGGATTTTAAGTAGAGAAGTGCCATTTGACTGTGCTATTACAAATTTTTTGGAGGTCATAGGTCTGCATGGTTTCCACTGTTGTCTGCATGTCACTTTGCTGAGTTTGACACCTCTGTAATTTCCATCAGCTTGTACTCCCGCAAAACTTCTTGAACACATCTTACACCACTTTTTCTCCATGTCTTTACCCAAGCTCCACGTACAATTTTTGCGTGTTACTTTGGTGGATATTGCAAGGTGAAATGTGATTGTTTAATAAGAGCTGGTGTCACTGAAGTTGATCTCTTGCTTGGGTTCGCAGATTTTTTTTTTTGGCAGAACCAAGTATCTGCGCTTACACACCAGTATGATGTGCATTTCGCCTCAGCCAAGAGACTCTTCAGAGACCTTTCAAAATTTAAGCACTGTGCTCAAACTCCTGTTTGCAAATTCAAGTACTAGACAAGTCGTTATTAATTAATCGATCAATAAATCAATTAATTAATTAACTAGTTCATTCAGGGAACCAGTTGACAGCTGCTTGCATATTCTGATGAATCAGAGTATACAAAATTTGTAAGCTTGCTATCATTTATGTATGTTTGTTTGCTAAAATACACTGTGCTAAAAACATAGGCACACCAGAATAATATAAGGCTACAATTGTAGTCAAGTAGTTTCGCGGATTTGTTGACTATTGAAGTGGCATATCTACATAGGAAAAACGTTAGGCGTCAAAAAGTCAATATAACCGATTATACCTTCTTCGGTGGTCTGAATTTTTCTCCAATTTTAACGTCGACCCCTTGAAGAGAGTGAAATTCAGCATGATCTGAAAAAGTAGTGAACAGAATAAATTATATAATTAAGCTTATAGGTTTTCGTTGCTAAGGTAAGGACAGTAAGATTATTCCAAAATTGTCATGTATTTGAGAACATCTACACGTACTTTACAAGCCAGTTTTAAGAGTAAGCTTGTATTAAAAAATCTCTAGGTATAAGCTTAAACTCAATTTAATAGCTGGAGGTGACAATCTGTTTTCCGGCCAGTTTTGCTTTTACCGAGGACGAGAAAACGGTATTAATCTATCTTCACGAGGCGTGTAACGCAAGATAAAGAAAAAATGAAATACTTACGACTTCCACTCTTCCTAAATGTCTTTTGAAACGAAGCCATCGCAAGGTTATGTCAAACTAAAGGGGAAGGACTGCTACTTCGATGTTGTCCTCCATGTTAACTCTTGATGATGTCATTGCGCCTGCGTTGTTTCTCAAAGATGTTATGAAATGGCTATTTAAAGAAAATGTTATTCAATCGGAAAATGTTCCCTTAAAATTCGATACATTCCTCAAAACGAAGTTGAATTAAGATTTACAAAGCCATAACTTTGCACTTTTCCTAACCGGCGGTAGACGACAAGCTCTAAGCTCCCGTCCTCTCCCTACTAGTGGTTATGTGTGAACTCCACTCTACCCTTGTTAGTCTTACCTCGTTGGCTTGTGTTACCATAGTGAGCGCAGAGCGCCATCTTGGCAAATTGATAGGTGCATAAAGTCATAATATCAAAATGTCAAAGGCAGAAAGGCTTTATCAACTTGAAAGACCTCCATTTACTTCTGTAAGTGTGAAATTCTCGAACGCATATTTTTATCACTGCTCTGTGGTTTGTCTTCTTCACATTTCAAGGCGCTTTTTTCTAACAAATGCCTTACTGAGTGCCTTACAAAATGCCAATATTTTTATTTACAGAGGGAATTTCACACCAGGTTCACAAATCTCGTGGGTCCTTTAAGTCTCTTTGAACCAGAGGATAGTGCAGGTAAGAGACTTAATATTCATGTATTTGGCTGTGGTGAATATAATGAGTTATTTATCATGTTGAGAATACAACCTATTTATAAGTTTATACTGGAGCTCTATAAACAATGAGCTTATGTCATTGACTTTCAAACAATTTAATTGATTACCATTATGCGATCATCATTATTATTATTTTGCATTTTTTTCATATTATCAAAATAAATTATGTATAAACTGCAAACAGATCCTAACATTATAATGCTGCATGTGTCTACCAGATACAGTACGTATACGGTACATCTGGGTTAGTGACCATCAGTGTGAGGTCAAAACGTAGGGCTTTTAGCTGTATAGATTTTGATGCTTTACAGAACATCATCTAGTATAACAGAAACAGAGGATTTATTTTGAAACAAAACAAATTTGCTCCGTGACAAATGGAAAATCATCCATTTTCTGTGGTTGAAGATCTCGCTTGTCATTGGTTATAACACAATAAACATTCCAGACATATTTTAGGTGTTCACGGTTTGGTAAGTGTGACTGTAAGTGACCAGTATAACCTAACTATTGCTAGCTAGAACCCAACTGTAAAGAAAAAGATTGTATTACAAATGCTGCAAGGAAAGATGAACTTTTCTCATTACCCAAATAATTGAGAATTTGAAAAATCTCAGTTCTCCTAGACCTTCCCCTCAAGTGACCCTCTGTTTTGAATTCTAATTAAAAAAAAAAAATTTTTAAATAAATCCAATGCAGTTTATATTAGAACATTTAAAACGATAATCAATGATATATTGTTTCAATGTGCACATGTTTACAATAAATTAGCCATGCATATATTGACATGTACAATTCTCATGATTTCCTTCCAATTCTTTGTTTTAAAAGACATTGGGAATGAGAACCCTGAAGTTGAAAGACCGCTGACACCTATTGAGGTACGCTATTAGAAATCATTATGTAATCACTAATCAGGACATATACGTGTAACTTTACATAAATTTATTACCATAACTAAATTCACAAGTGCCATTGTGTGTAGCTTAAGGGAAAGTATACTAGACTTCAGATAGAGCTATCCAGGTTCTCTGACCTTGGTTGCTGCATTGTTGTATTCTTTCATATAGTGAAGACATATGTATTTTCTCCCAGATTATACCTCTCTCCCCTTAAAAATATTTACTTGTGAATAAAATGTTGGAGGTACCCCTGTGATGGACTATCATCCCATCAATGGGAAGAGTAGTAAAACTACTAGAGAAGCTTCAAGCTACTGAAATTAGATACAATTCCTGCCCAGTCACTAGGTTTTGATGCATTCTTAATCTAAGGTTAAGATCCTGGTTATGCTCTAAAGATCATTATGCACGAGTTCAACATAGGCTACGAGTAGTCTTTTTTTTGCTAAGCTCTCTAATGGCAAGTCCTATACATCCAAAACTTTCCTGGAAGGCAGCTTTCAAGTCAAAATGTTTAAATTCTATACCCTAGCTATAGCCTGCAAATGCAGCTACATAGATGCACAGGTGTAAGTCTCCTTAAATCACCTACTGTTGTGCTATGTTGTGAGCTTCCTGCAAGTAATTTGCATAGTGTTGCATGGCGAGTAATCTTAATCCACGGCTAGCTTACTTCCAGCCATCTGTATTAATAGTAACTATAAGATATGAAATGTTGAACTGTACAAATTTTAATCTACACAGAGCATACAATGCATACAGATTAACCAAGTTTTAACATTGCCTTGTATACTAAATAGGATGCAGTTAAGAGTCCGCCATCATCATTCAGTGATTTTGCCAAGCTTGTTCATCCCAGGCTGTCACCAAAGGAGGGAATTATCGGTCTGTCTGTGAATGATCAGCAGCAATTGGTGGGTGAATTGAATTTATGCACATTAAATACTCAGTAAAAAAAACATATGTAAGAACCAATGGTTTAAGAACCTCCTGACACAATTTCTTCATTTTAATACCCAGAAATAAAAGAACCTGTTTTGCCAAGCAAGATCAAGTACATTATTATATGTGGGTTAAAGTTAAATTATGATACACATTTTAACCAAGGAGTGTGACTTTAAGATTGGGAATTTACATTACAAGAAAATTCATAATGCAGTAACTGTTGTGAATAAATGCTGTACAGTTGAACCTGTATTAAGCAGTCACCCTCGGGGAATGGCTAAGTGACCGCTTAATACAGGTTGTACAAAATACAGGTCAGAAGACAGTGAAAATGCCATTTTATATCACAGTTAATGAGTAGACGTAGTGTACAGCTTATGCATAAAAGTGCTCAAAAAAATCACTTACTTGGTTAAAAGTAACTCCAACAATAATGTGGTTTGAGAAAAATAGAACATAGAAAAGGACTAACAAAACAGTAATGCCAAGTTCATGCAGCCGATATTATAGCTGGTCATTAGAAAAAGACATAATCCTAATCTTTTGAGTCTTGTCTTTTAAACCTATTTGTCCTAAGAAGGAAAATAATCAGATATCAATGTCTGTTGTTTGGGTTTCCGTTGTTTAATATCGCTAAGTATATGTCGTTCACTTTGCTTAACACCAGAGAAAGTTCCTGGTGTCTGTTAAACTGAGCAAAGTCTCTCAGTTGCTCTGCCATGTTCACCACCTCCGATACTGACTTTATAGCTGGTTGTTTTAATTCGACATCATACTCCAAAATCAATTACCTGGTGTGCTATTTGTAATTGTATGAACTAGTATTTGAGTGGTTTCCGTTTACAAAGTGACCATTTAATACAGGTCAATTAGACAATAGAAACAGCTCGTCGGGACTTAGTAAAGGGTGACCGTGACTACTTAATAGAGGTGACTGCTTAATAGAGGTCAAAATTACAGTAATTAAGGGAAGTAATTTTTGGGACTTTGGTAACTGACCGCTTAACGCAGGGCCACTTTATACAGGTTTGACTGTATATTCAAGGACCAAATCCATGTTTATTTATTTTTTGTGGTAATCAACAACAATATCTCCTTTATCGAAATTAAGAACCTATTTAACCTGAATTGCCAATAACTATCCTAAATTAGTAGAATTGTACTAGTATACTAATGCTAATGCTGTAATCTGATTGGCTGAGCCATTGAACACTATCAGCCATTAGAGTGCAGTGGCTGGAGGTCATCTAGGAAATGGCGACGTTTTTTTTTTTCATTTTTCCAAAGTTTTGGAGGACAAATTTGATGCAAATGGATAATTAAATTCCTGAGAAGTCTAAAGGAAGGGCATTTACAGCTTCTTGACTTTTAAAAATGTTGAAATGATTGAAAAAACTGATGCGCACGCACAAAACTTCAATTTTAGGTGACAATTCATTCCAAGCGATCTTTTTCAAAGTTTAATAATATGTCAAGAAATAATTGGAAAGCATTATTTGAAGTAAATTTTTGTAAGTATTCTACTAAAACAATTAGATTATTTGCTCTCGAGGTAGTTGATTCAGCCTTCGGCCTCATTAACTATCACCTCATAGAAATCTCGAACTCGTAATGTAATTGTTAATTAATATAAATGTACTAGCGTTCTATCACGAATGCCATTCTCTGATTGGCTACGCTACTCACTTTCCATTCTGTGATAGATAGTGAGTAGCGTAGCAGTGTGTGGTTTTTACCGAAATGACGGCGGCTTCTTTGTGTTTTCGAAGTGTCTGTGAAGAGGATTTGCATAAAGTTTCGAATAACTAGTAGATTTATACTAAAACAATTACAATAGATTATTCACTCTCGATTTCTATGGATGATAGTTGACTCAGGCTGCGCCCTCATCAACTATCACACGATAGAAATCTCTAGCTCATAATCTAATTGTTTAATACAAGAACCTGCTTTGCCAGACTTCAAAAAATTTAGACTCTTACACACAGGTTTTCACACAGCTAGTATTTTGTAGATACATAGTTTTTCTTTTCCTGCAGATTGGAATTCTCATGAGTGAACTAAACAACATATGGAGAGATGTTCAAAGAGGACCACCAGATCCATTCCTGGTAATTGGTTACTAATCATTTTCATTGACGAGCGACTGTGAGAACAAATGTACCATCAAGTTGGCTGCCACATAGCAGTTTAGATGTAAGGTTTCAAAACAAACTTGCCTCTGAAGGTTTTACATCAAATGTCTTAACTTTGAGTTAGTGAATCATATTACCACTGTATACAAGGCTAAAAAGGTTCAATCAAATTATCCCATTGTGACGTCACTCCACTTTGATGTATTGAAGGGTAGTGAAAGATAAAAATTAATAAATTAGTGTGTAATTCCTTGTCCAAACATAATTTTCCAAAAATTATTCTAATGTTAATTTAATTTAAGTGTAATATTTTATTAATATTAAGTGATTTTGAGTTTTGCTTCCTAAATTACATGTAGGTATTTAAATCATTATACTCATACATGGTTTCTCTCTCTATTAAATCTTGATAGACAGGTCAGCAAAACAGAGAATTACAAAGGTAACACGTACATTTTTTTGTATTTTGTAATTGTTGGATTAATAACATTAAATGTTACTACTAACATTAAATTATATAATTTTATGCTCTCTACAGGCGTCTAACAATTGAGATTGTCGTTATTACTCAAGGCCTTTTTGCCAAGTACTTAGACAAAGCCCAGAGTAAGTTGACATCTTAGTTAATGAAGACAGCATTGGTACATTGAATGTCATGTACTGGAACATCCAAAAAGTCTTACATCTAATATTTAACAATAGGATCATGAGCTGGAATTGTCTGTAGCAAATGGCAACAAGACTCAGCTGAGTTGACTATGGCTCATAAAGAAGCATGACTAATAACCTGATTGTTTTAATTAGACACACTTGAGATGGTTGTCCAAAGCCTACAATTTTTTATCTACTTTTAAGTGCAAATCAAGAATTAGCGTTCCCTGATAAGAGCAACAAAGAACAATTGTGTTTCATCAGCATAAAGACAACAAATTGGGGAAACAAATTAGATTTGTGGATTTCCAGAAGAACACTCGAAGTGTCCACTAAAAAATATTATGCACTCAATGCCAATTTCAGTCTCCAGAGCATGAATCAACTATGATCTTGTTCTATTTTCTGGAGTGGAATGGAATGCTTAAGTCTATTGAAGGTTACTCCAACATTTTGCCAGGCTGCCATATTTGTTAAGGTCACTGCATGGCACCAATATATACATGTGGGTGGTAAGAAGCGGGGATCTGATCTGTAGATCCACTATGTCCAAGGCACAAATTGTAAGGCTACTGCAGTGGTGTCCACTGAAAATGAGGCTAATGGAATATTGCATCTCAAATTTCAAAGAGCTGAATCAAAGAGGGGTGTTTAGTGGTCCTGCAAACCTTAGTCGCCTTAAAACCCAACTGGCCTTGGAAGCAAATAAGAGGTGGGTGAATTGTATTCATTAACAGTCAAGTCTCTGTTGTAGCTCTAATGAACACATATCTAAAGTGCAAATACCCCTTATTATTTAATATTTAGTTACAGTGAAAATCACAACAAATTATGTACAACTCTTTGTAAAATCATGTTTAACTGAGAAAAAATTTGAACATGTAACTGAGAAAGGCCTCAGGGAGCACACTTTTTATCAACCACTGAAAAGTGGATGGAGCATTGTTAAGTCCAAAACACATATCCAGGGAGCCATTTCCCTTTGTGCCTGGATATGTGTACTCCCTAACTGCAATTTATAATTTCAAGCAGGAAAACATGCGTACCTGAATATTTCAATTTGTGCTCTTCCAGAATCTCCCTCCTTAATCCCTCTGGAATTTCCAGTTTTGGTTCGTACCTTCCTTGTAATTTCCAATAAACCTCCTTGGGGTGGGTATGGGTATTTCCTTGGAACCCCACAATGAATTAATGTACCTTGATTTTTAAATCCTTAATTGATTAAAGATTTTGAAAACTCTAACAAGGTAATTGAAAATAACTTCTATGTCATACATGTACATGTATTTTTTGCAGTCTAAATGTACTAAGTCTTAGACGGAATCTAGCTGCAGACATGAAACATCCCTCGGATTCAAGCACAGTCTCCAGCAGGTTCTCTATTAGTAGACCTGTGCATGTGCCACCTCCAAAGCTCTACAGACCACTTGTGGTAAGATCAGCAGTAAGTTATACTTTATTCCAATTGAGTTTGAGAAATTTTAGTACATATTGTTCCAATGAAACTTGTCAGGGCTGCCATTCACTATTGAGTCATCTGTTTCTTTAATC